AAAATAAATACAACGATACAACATACAAAACAAACATCAATCAAGTCCTACGACTTGCTCTTAAAGTTGGCACCGTTCTCTTGTTCCTGGCACGATGACGTCACCGCCGGAAGTCAACAATCTTTGTTTTAGGTTGTACCACACCATTTTTGTGCAGAATATTTTCTGCACAAGTTTGGCATTCAATATTTCGCTGCTTGGGGAGAATCTTATTTTATGTCGACTGGTTATTCAAACTGCCTATAGAGAGGTAGTGAGATATCCTTGAAGCAAATATTCAGAAATCCTTAGGTCAACAAAGGTCAGAAGCATTCTGGGAAGAGGGGGGGAGGGAGAGAGAGAGAGATGATTTGTCCCTGAGTCAGAAGTAGGGGAGGAAAAGCATTAGAACACTTACAAGATTTTGTTCCTGTAGCCTATCTCAATAAAGTCAAGTTTTGGTCTGCATGTGGAATTGATTTCCTCATCTGGTCTACCTCAATGGGCTGACACCAGTGGTGGAATTCAATTTTTTTTATTATCGTGGGCGTGACATGGTGGGCGTCACAGGGGAAGGATACTGCAAAATCCCCATTCCCTCCCCACTCCTGGGGGAAGGATATTGCAAAATCTCCATTCCCACCTCACTCTGGGGCCAGCCAGAGGTGGTATTTGCCGGTCCTCCGAACTACTCAAAATTTCCACTACCAGTTCTCCAGAACCTGCTGAATAGCACCCCTGGCTGACACCCAATTGAAATGGTGCACAGGAGGCAATTTAAGATGAATCCTGCTGATTTGGGTGTCGTCCAGCATTCTGTGACACGAGTGAAAAAATGCCTCCAAGAGGCGGAAATGTAGGAAGTGTTAAACCCACCAAATTTTAATCCTGAAGCTGAAAAATAACTTCTCCTGCAACTGGTAATATGTACGCGTGCATGCGCGCGCGCATACACATGTTACTTTTGCAAGATGAAATTACCATAGACATTTGACAGATGCCATTTCCACTCCCCCTTCCCACCCCTGCTATTGTCAATTCTAAAAGAATGCTATTTTAAAGATTGCGTCAGAATTCATCAAATCGTTTACCTATCACTATAGATAAGCTCTGCATAATGGAAAAGCTCTGTAGTGTGACAGGAAGATTAGGTTAAACTGAAGCAAATCAGTGTGATAGTTTTCCATTACCTGAACTCCAAACAGGATTGTCAACAAAGGCTGACATGGAATAATGATTCTCCTGCCATCTCACACTGAGCAGCACATAAAGGATAAAGGCATATTTTGATATATGTAACTTCTCTTATTTTTCTCAGGTATATCATGTAAGTCAGCAGGTCAACCTATAATTACAGCTCACCAAAGGCAAGCAAGCAAAGGTTGAGTGACACTCTTTTTTCCCCCCTTGCAAACGGAGCTGTATTACAATTAAATCCTTAGCTCTTCTTTAGCCTGCAAGTTATAGAAGGTACTATTTCATTTAAAAAAAAAAAAAAAAAATCCGCCTATAATGTTGTTGCTACTGTTTAACTGCTATCCAGAGGAATCTCTCTGTGGAACTTGAAATTTTTCAGGCCACGAAGTCAATTTGCTTGATCCCAATGCAGGTGAGGAACAAAAGCAGTAGTGGGATTCAAGTAATTTAACAACCGGTTCTCTGCCCTAATGATTTCTTCCAACAACCAGTTTGCCAAACTGCTCAGAAAGTTAACAACCGGTTTTCCCGAACTGGCTGAATCCTACCACTGAACAAAAGTGTCCAAACAAAAATTGTCCAGCATATCAAGAGGTTGCCCCCATATCAGGGGGTTCTGCAGGATATGATTAAAAAAAGGCAAGACAGTGGCTACAATAGTGTGATCAAAGCTCTATCTATTTCTTATGTGCAAACCACTGCAGACCACCTATGAAAAATTGTGAAATAAAATGTGCACTGTGGGGGGATGATAATATTAATTGGTTAAAGCTAATTTTAATTATAATTAGCATTAAAATTGAATGGGTTAATTCAGGAGTCCCCAACCTTTCCGGCTTGGTGAACTGTCGGGGGGGGAGAGGGGATGGCCCAGTAGTGGACCACAACCCGGGAATTGGGGATTCCTGGGTTAATTGAGTCAAAAATCAGTATCGAGTGTCAAGCAACATTCAACACCCTGACGTCTTGACAGGAGAATAATAGGCGATGCAGGAGGGGTCACTGGCATGGGTGACGGAGGAGGTGATATTAGGCAGCTAGGTATTATACACACCAGTGGTGGGATGTAGCAAAGATCATGTTAGGGTTTGGAGCGGCTCATGTCGGATAGCGGCCGAAAGCGATGAAACCCCGATGACATCATAACCCTGCAACCGCGCTGAATTGCACCGGGGGCAGATTCAAACACCCTCCAGCTAAAAGGGATTATGAACACGCGCACAGCAAGCAATTAGAAGAGGGCGGAACTATAAAGTGGAGCTGAGGGACAGACGCCCTCAGCGCTGACTTTGTTCATGTTATCGTTCCAGCGCCGACAGAAGCTGTTGTGTAGCAGGTAAATAAACCGGGTTTATCGACTGAAGCGTTAGCGTCTTGTCTTTCCCGGGATTCTGCACCAGCAGCCTAGCGATCTGAGAATCAGGAGAAATCCTCTCTATTCTAATTTGGTCAGACTGTACCTAGAATGTTGCTTCTGGTTTTCAGCATGACAGTTTATAAAGGATATTGAAATTAGGCAGCAAATCCAAAAGAGAGGCCAAAGATGACAAGGATCTTGTCATCTTATGAGGAACAATTAGCATTGGGTAGCCTGGAGACCGCTACTGGGAGATATGCCAGTTGTCATCAAGTAAAAGAGGGATCTCATGTAGAAGAATCATTCAAAGTCAGTTCAGAAGTGTTTAACTAGCAAGTGGATGACCATCTAGCCCATTTGTTAGCGATGTGGATTCTTCTAGGCAATCTTTCAAGGATATTTGGATTTCTGAAGTAGGCTGTGGATTTTGGTTTGTCACAAATCAGATTCCTGTTTTTTTTTTTTTTTAATTAACAAGGATAGACATGAACTTGAAATTTCTCAGGCCACCAAATCAATTTGCTTGATCACAATGCATCATTGGATCAACCTCAAGATAATAAGTTAATGAACTAGCAACTATCTAATAGCAGAAACTACAGCAGTCTAAAAACTAGCTGCTAAAGGAAAGGAGATGTGCCAGCTGGATCTACTACTAGAAGGCGACAAAGCACTGGAAACCACGTTCACAAAAAAGGCTTAAGACAACTTGGATCAGAAAACAGCAATTGTGAGTCAAAGCTATAAAACATCTTTTGAGATGCATTTGCAAGAGACCGAGACTGGAAAGATAGCAATAGTTTCAGCACTCGAGAAGTAGTGAGCTAGTGATGGGCCAAGCAGAAAATGAATCCACTATTAGAATCATTCTATGAAATTAATGGGCAACAAGGGATATCCTGTACTTAAAATTGGATATTGTCTGATCATCAGATCGTTAAAAAAGTGGGAGCAGGCAAGTTCTAGGAAGACATGTTTGTCAACAGTTATTGCCTATTCCATGTCCATTCAATTTCAGAGCCAGTTTTGCCCTAGTAGCCTATTCCTCAACATGAGCCGTGGTGGCGCAGTGGCTAGAATGCAGTACTGCAGGATACTTCTGCTGACTGCCAGCTGACTGCAATTTGGCAGTTCAAATCTCACCAGGTTCAAGCCTTCCATCCTTCCGAGGTGGGTAAAATGAGGACCCAAATTCTTGGGGGCAATATGCTGACTTTGTAAACCACTTAGAGAGGGCTGTAAAGCACTATAAAGCAGTATATAAGTCCAAGTGGTATTGCTATTGCAGAAGAGAGTGGCTTGCATTGGCTAGAAAGCAGTATCTGGATCCAGATATGGAAAATCGATGGCTGAATCTGATTGAGTTTATTTTGATTTCCTGGGTGTATCTTTTTTTGGATGCCATGATAGTTTACCAAATCTCCAAATACTACATCAGAAAATATTGCTCAAGTGCAAATTGTTCTATGATAGAGTAGAATTCTTTGTAAGCCTTTTCTTACTAGCAATCCTTAGCATGATGGTTCTCAAAGTGTGGAGACAATGTGACTAAAAGGACTGAAATTCACATTGTGTTAAGAGAGAACTTTTATAAAATGATTTACATTGGTACTGGATATGACACCAGATGAATTATCTTAAGATGTACAAAGCTACTTCTAATCAATGTTAGAAATGTGACAAACATGAAGGGGCATTTTACCATGCACGGTGGATTTGCCAAATAACAAAGTAAAACAAAACAAAACAAATGAGAATGCAAATAATTTTAAAGATGAATTGATTCAGATTAAACCAGAACTTCTTTCATTGGGTTTTAAGATAAAGGTAAAGGTTCCTTGCACATATGTGCTAGTCATTCCCAACTCTAGAGGGTGGTACTCATCTCTGTTTCAAAGCCGAAGAGCCAGCGCTGTCTGAAGACATCTCCGTGGTCATGTGGCCGGCATGACTAAACGCCCTAGCCGCACGGAGCGCTGTTATCTTCCTACCAAACATGGTCCCTATTTTTCTACTTGCATTTTTTACATGTTTTCGAACTGCTAGGTTGGCAGAAGCTGGGACAAGTAACGGGAGCTCACCCGGTTACGCAGCACTAGGGATTCGAACCACTGAACTGCCGACCTTTCGATCGACAAGCTCAGCATTTTAGCCACTGAGCCACCGCATCCCTTGTATCATTGGGACTTATGGATAGCCAATTAGAGGAAATTTATGGTAGACTGATTTTGTAAATAACAACTGCAGCAGACAAGGGGTAATTTTGAGGTTGCTAAGCTCTTTCCAGTGATGCTGAAAAGTAAGGAAGAAAATTCTATGTGAACTTCAAGAAGAGACCATGTGTTAATGATATCGGACCATTATCTGATTTATTATTGAGCTGACTTGACTTCCTGTTTGGTTCCTTGGCCCATTTCATCTGATTCAGCCTTCCAGGTCAGAATGTTGCTAGGACAGAGGAGGCAGTTGCCATCACTACAGAAGAATTTAAAGCTTTCTGATCCTCGCAGGCAGCCACCATCTTGCCCTGTGTTTACCAATTTCACGTGTCATTAAATTAGCCCTAAGACACCTTTTGTGTGACATGTGGAAGTAAAGCACAGCCTGTAACTTTAATGACCTTTTATGCGATTCAGTCTATAAAACACGAAGCCTGCCCAGCAACGGTTTACATTAATGGCATTTAAAGAAATATTTTAATATTGAAAAATACATCCGTGGTGAAAGGATTTGGCTGGTTCTCAATTAAAGCTAGTTGCATAAAAGACATCGAGGAGAAACCTTTAAGACTGGTTGATTATCTTCAATAGATAAGTGCATTTGGAAGAAAAAGAAAGCAACTATCAAGTTTGCAAAACGAAAAAAGAAGGGTTTCAATCCTGCACTTAGTGAACCTGCTTGAATCCTATTCAGGTTAATCGAACTGAAAATATTTGGCTATAAACTGTACTGTAACAGTTACTGTGGCATCTGAAAGATTAACCAATTTATGATCGCATTAGCAAGTGTGATCCAAGAACCCTTGGATATCCTTGAGCTCTCCTCTCCATTTGAGATCAGCTATGATCAGTACAGTGTCACAACTTACTACAGAAAAAGTTCTCTCAGCACTGTTTTAAATTTGTTTCTTTGCTCACCATGAAAATAACAACAAGGAAAATAATCTTTATTTAGCCAAAACAACTTCTTAAAGCTCTTTAAGGGTGAAGAAGCAGAGTCACATACAGACCGTACTGAATTTGGACATTCATAAGAATGTAAACATTTTGAAAGTGGGGTTCTCTGGTATAGCAGGATGTTGAAACTGTCTGAGCTTCTCAAACAATTTAAGAATGTTTGGTCAGCAGGGCTATTTAGCATGCTGGAAAGCACACCATAGGGTGATGTGTTTGTCTGGGGGTGGGGGATAAGGTTGTCAGACATCTGAGAATGACAGCCTCAAAGCTAAAGTCAAAAGGTGACATGTGTGCAGACAAGAATAATCTTTGGGGCAAATATGTGCTTGGGATAATGAGGACCATCATTTAATTCCTTTTCTGAGACTTTCAATAGAAAGAATAGAATTACAGATCAGAGACCACTCCACACTGCCTGTCTTTTATTCATTGTTTGTATTAGATCTAGCCACAGAATGTAAGTTCAGGGATAACTTCATGTGCAAATGGAGGCAAATATACATGTCCCAAGACAATGTTGCAGGATCCAATCTGGGTCAGTCACCGGGAACAGAGGTTTATATCTTCTGAGCTTTTGGACTCATGCTGGAGCCTATCCTTAGGGAACTTCTCTCTCACATTCTGGTGAGACTAAACCTCGGGTCCTAGTAACCGACTAGGGTTATGGGTTGGATCCCATAACTTCACTTGGTTGGATTGTTTTAAGTGATGAGAGAAAAATATCTGGACAGTGTTCTCTGATGTGAGTTATTCCTGCTCCCTAAAGCATTGTTCCTCAACCTAGAAAACTCTTAAGATGTATGAACTTAACTGGGAGTTGGAGTCCACAAATTTTAGAGTTACTGAAGTTGAGAAACACTGCTCTAGAGGTTGCAGGAAATAAATATCATTCCATTCAGAAGACCCTTTGCTAATTTGTAACTTGTGTTAACTTCCTTTCATGTCATCTTCCTTTCACAGTCTGCAAGAAATCTGTTGAATAATCTTATATGTGGAAGATATGTCCATTTTTCTAAGATAGATCTTTAAACCTTGTCTATGAAATAATTGATAATCTCAAATGATTTAAGCCATAAACCATTCGTCTTAAAGCTGTGCAAGACATGTGAAATCCACTTGATGATATGCTTCATGCCACTTCTTTTACTGAAGCTGTACTGATACATCCTTCCTTGGATATCTCATAGATGGAAATAATCTCTGTTCCAATTGAAGAGAATATATGTAGCTCAGGGTTAAATGGTAAGCTCCCTATATGTTCAGAAGTGCATTTAATGCAACAAAGCAATGTAATCATTTCACCCCACTGTTTAGAATGCATAGGAGTGGAGAATCTCTTAAGTAAGCTACTGCCAAATCGTGGTTTACATCATCTTATATTAAATCAAAACAGTCTTCAAAGGTGTGCACCATCCTAATTCACATATCAAATTCTGGCCTAGAAGCAGAAAACCACAAAGATATGCCACCAAAAATATCATTAGGCAAAATGAAGGAACACATTCAAATGGTGAAAGAGTCCAGATAGTGAACTGAAGCAGGAATGATTCCTTCTTAATACTGGAGCATCTGCTTCATTGTTGTCCAGTCAGCCTGTCAGACCTGCCACCACTTAAACCTTTCTATAGAAATGATCCTTGGCTCCATTTCCTGAGAAAGATATAGTTCAGTCAAGTGCAGTAATGTATAGCCAATGGAGAATCATGCACCAAAATCTATAAGTTCAACTTTTCCCTCCCTTAACTGATTCCCATTGCTGATTTCCCTCCACCCCACCTCCATGACCAATCAGGTTCAAGCAAGATGTTTTCAGAACAGTTGGTATGCAGCTGCCTTCTTTTCCCAGCCGGGTGACCTTGAGGCAGTGTCTTGGGGAGATACAGAAGTTACATTCATTTTCCCCCAAGCATTCCCCCTCCCAATCACCCACCCCAGCATTCGTGGCAGATTGTCACCACAAAGTAGCAAGGCACAAGCAAGCGTAAGGTGGCAGCTGACACAGCCACTGATGTGAGACCATAAGATCCTTCTTAGTTGGCACTCATGGGACAGACAGGCAGTTGGACACTTATACAATCAGTGTTGCCAAATTTATGCTGGGGATGGCAGAAAAGAGCAAATGGAAGGCAGGGATGAGGGCGGTTCAGTAATAAATCCTCTTCCATTTCAAGTAATATTTTCTTTAGCATCATCTAGAACATAAGCAGTATGGATGAAATGATTGGTCCAGAAAGCCAAATTCTATATAATTCTATATAATACAAGGGAACCACATCCTATGAGGACTCCACTGAACCAATTCTGTTTAGTAACCCTTTTAAAGGAAATATCAAAAACTGATTTGGCCACAACTGGAAAGTAGGAAATGATTTGATTCCATCTAAATCTGTATGTCTCCCTAGATTTTTACTTCCCATTCTGAAAACAGTTCTCATGCCCAAATATTTTCCATCATTTCTTGATGAAACTTATTCTGGAGTTGAACCAGGAGTCCTCTACTTGCAAAACAAAAGGGCTTCTGCCTAAGTTAAAGGATCTTATTTGGCAAATAGGATTGCCAAAACTTAATGAAGAAAACTCCAGCTAGAAAATAATGGGATTATGTATTCAATGAAGCAAATGATCACTTAAACTTCTATGGCTCCACTGTCACCCAATATATTGATTGAGAATTATAAGAATTGTGATCCATTTAGGAAGTGCCAAATCAGGGAAGACTCTTAACAGCTTTCATCTGATCTAAATCTCAATTCAATAAAGAAAAAAGAAGATGGCTTTGCTTTGTATTAGGATTGCTAAGGAAAGAATACATTGCATATTCATATCTTTATTTTGTGCACACTATTTTACTTCAAAAATGCTCTTTAGAAATGAGAAATTATTTGCATAACAGCTGCCATATTCTTTGCAATCCTTTTTTATTTGCAGTTTCTCTGCAATTATTTCTTTTTTCTTCATTACAGAAAATATAAGCAGATAGTGACTTCCAATAGGCTTGGAAAAGGAGAAGAAAGGGCTTGTAATGAAATATGCTAAGAGTTCATCAAAAACAGCAAGGAGGGTTTGTGCCTTTGGCAATAGGAATGTACATGAATGACACTATTGTGGGAAGCCAACCATTGTGTTCCTCAGACCACCAGAAGATGGTCTTTTTGCATAAATATTTGACAGCATTGAGAGATGTCTGGAAATTTCATTTGTAAATCAAAACAATTTTTGCAACCAAATGTATGAAACTGAATCTTTGGTACTCTGATTTCAAGTTTTTTTTCTCCATTTTATGCAACTTAATCTCTAGTATCCATTTTTTTATGTGTATCAGAACATAAGTTAAAAAAAGGATGTGATTGCATGGTCACTATCTTGACTTTAAAAAAATAAGCACTTTTGGATTCTTTTTTGTTTCCTTTGTCTTTGCAAGCTTTTTGTTTTATTTTAAAGACAGCAAAATGGAAGATTTACTTTTGAGGTTAAGACACTTTAAAAACATAAAAATATAAAAACAGATACAAATATAAAAACCAGGAGCTACTGTATTTCTATTACTCTCAAACTATGATACCTTTTAATATCAAGGTGTTTTTAAAAACAAAATGTCTCTCCCTTCCTAACAATATTATTGTTTTACCTTCAGGCTCTTGTTGTAGATTCTTGCTGTAGATTTTATGAACATGATTCAAATAAATTGGTTCTCTGTCCTTGGTGACTCGTTTAATTATTTTGTTATTATCCAAGGAACTAGTTTAATTTAAATGAACATAATATTCAGTTGCTATCACCTTGAGAAAATACTGGCTCTGATCATCATAGTTCGCAGTTAAAATGTTAAATGCCCAAATCAAGCCTCTTCTGTCTGTTTCTGTTTTTAAAATATTTAAATTATTATTTACTATTTGCTTTTTTCATTGCCAAGATGAGAACCAGATTTTACTTTTTAATTTATTTTTAGTATTCTTCCAAAAGTTCAAGATAATATACGTTAGAGTCCCTCCTTCACTATTATCCCCACAGCAACAAACTTATGAGGTAGGTTGAGTGATATTCTGGTACAAAGTCATCCATTGACTTTCAAGGTTGAGAGTGGAGTTGAACCTGCATCTCCCATTAATAATATATCACCTTAACCCAGTGTTTTGCAACCTCAACAAGTTTAAGATGTGTGGACTTCAATTCCCATAATTCCTCCAGCCAGCAAATTCTAGAACACGGATATCAAACTCACCGCATCAAGTTGTCACGTGATGTTTTGCTATGTTTTTCCCATTCGCGGAGCTGGGGTGGGCGTAGTCTGCGCATGACACATCCAGCCCACATGCCGCCAGTTTGACACCCCTGTTCTAGAAGTCTAATTCTACACAATCTAAAGTTTCTGAGGTTGAGAAATATTATCTTAACTAAACCACCTCACCATCTTCGTTCTCTGTTTGCTTTGGTTATTGTTAATAGTATTGTTTCAGTTGCTCAGAGGCATCATTCTAGGCATGTCCACCACCTGCCTCTGGTTGTTGTTTTTTCTTTTCTTTTTTCTTTGCAAAAATAAAAGTTTTTCCATTTATGAAGTAGAATACACATAAGAAAAAATTGATGGTCATTCATTAGAGTATATTTTAAATATATCATGTTAAAGAAAATAGGAAAAGGGTGTGTGAGAGAGGAGTGTGACAAATTATTTCTACTATGGATAGGCAAACATTTTTCTGTTGAGTTCCTTGGAGGCTATCTGTCAGAGGCTCCATGGCTATTAGAGACAATGAAAAAGTGGGTGGAGATGCTGATATTCTGTCTCATAGACCTTCCTTTCTCTCTTTCTGTCTCCCTCTGCTTTCTCTCAGCAGCTGAAGGGGAAAAAACAGGTAATTATTGTCCAAGTTCTGAGACAATCTAAAGCTACATGTATATAGCTTGAGGTTGAATGTGTTCCTAAGCTGGAAGTTGCCACTCTGATGTATATTTTGGCCTAAATCCAGGAGGACTGCTGTCAAACGTAGGGAAACAAAATTCACCAAAATAGCCTTGATTGAGGCAGCATTGAATTGAATCTCCTGTTGTCTTTCCTTTTCTGACCCAAAGTATCCACAAAAAAAGTGAGAAAGTGAGTGAGTGAGTGTTGTGAAAAATATACCCCCAAAACAATAGATGTTTCAGAAAGAGTGAAATATGCAAAAAGCATATCCCTGAGATAGTTGCACTATTAAAATTAATCTTTAAAAGAAAGTTTACATTAGGACATTTCAATTGTTGAAGCCTTCATTGCAGAAATGTGGATAACATGGATAGTGCTATAAATATATGCATAAATATAGTATAAATATGCAGAGAACACAGATACCAGGGATCGGCTAACCTTGCCTATGCCTTCAAGACATTTGTTTGTTTGGAGGGAGAAAAACCCTACCTTATCTGGTCTGCAGAATTCCAGATGACCCCTAAATGACAGCAAAGAGTTTTCTCGACATGAATATGGTACCTCAAGCACAAAAGGGGCCACGTAGCTAAAGAGAGGCAAGGAAAAGCTGCTGTCTCCTCCTCTTCAGCTTATACTGTTCCTAAATTAGTTGTCACATCAACAGAAGCAGCTCCTGGAAACAACCCTTAGAAGGCTCCAGTGGTTTCCTTGATGATCATTGTTGGCGAGTGTGGCCACTGTCTTCCTCTTTTCACTCTTCTCTTCCATTCAGTTTGTGAAAGAACTGACAAAGTGGGAAAAGGCAGGCCATACTTGCACTGTGAAATCCAGGCAATTTGCCTGTGTCTAGAGTCTTTTGAGGGAAAGGAGCATGAGTACTTCCTGTGTGCTCAACTGTGCTCTCTCATGGAAGAAGGAAATGATGAGAAGGTGAATGTCTGAATTGATGACAGTCTCAGACCTGTTGCTTCAGGGGAAAACAACTGGTCATCAGGTGATCTTCCCTTCCCTTTCTTTAGCCTACCTTCAATGCTGCCGCCTAGGAAGAAAGTTCAGTGACATCTCTCTCATTATCTGAGAGGTTTACCTTGGAACACAGTCAGATATCTCTACTTACACTCCTGCAAGAGAAGCTTGGATATCTCAGGGAAATTTTTGCTCACATTTTGATGCAAGGAAACTTGTTGCTTTGTGAAGCAGCTTTGACCGATTGTTCTGCATGAGCCATCATCAAAGTGAAGTGCTCCTTTGAAGCTTTGAAGACAGCTGAATCAACAACTTGGATCAAATATGTAAAAGTGAATTTGGAAAATTGTATTGACCCCAACTGAGATGCTTCAAATTCATTCAAATTGCTCCATTTGATATGACTGATGGTCTGAAAGAAGAGTCCAATCAGTATATGATTGTTTGATAGACAGAAAGACAGAGAGATCAATCTCTGGCCTTATGTCATGAAAGGTATACGAGAGATTGTGTTATTTTTTCCTCTCTGGATCTTTTTGTTTTTTTACATTGTTTTAATATTGTACACAACCCACAGTCCTGGTAGAGTTGAGCAACCTTAGAATTCAAATAAATAAGCAGAAGATTAGCTAGAGAAATTTGTTAAATAATTTCTGCCTTCTTTGTGGTGTTGAAAATACATTGTCTGAAAAGAACCAATTCATTCATCCTAACTGAAGGAATGGTTTTGTTGGCCTTTCTTTGTGAACAGATAATTGGTGTTACAACAGGACATGTTGACTTCAGTGGATGGGATTGTCTCATCTGGTTCATAGTTTGGCTTAAAAATGAAGGTCTGAAACTATCCACAATATATAAAGTGTAGATGATCCACTATCAACATTATTTTTGCATCTATTCATATCATGCGGGATTCAACTACATAGTTATAACAATACAGTAAATACTTAGCAATCCAGCTCTGCACACAAGAGTAAAATACTCTCATTTTTTTTCCTTCTAACCAAATAGAGCATAAACTATCAAAGAATTTAAAAAAACACTTGTAGCCATTTGCATACCCTAACAATCTGTCTAAATGTAAATCCAATTTCATTTCCTGAAATAGTAAGAATGTCAAATCTCCAGTTTTAAAAACAGAAGTAAAGAAAGCCTAAAGGTGTTAAAAGAAGGTCTGTAACTATTCAAGGATGCTGCTACAACCAAGGTAAGGTCTTGAAAAAAGAGTCTTCATAATTGCAAGTAGCCGAGTTAGTACATCACATGAATAGGATTTTCTTTATGAGAAACAGATGTGAGCAAAAGCTAAATAAGAAAAGTGCCAATGTAGGCATGAATCATCAGAATAAAATTTCCCACATAACAAAAGTAACAGCATAATTATATGTTTGCACACATTTAGGTAAGGAAATATGATTATCCAAAATATTTTCAATATTGTTCCGGTGAGTAAATATATTTACAGGAAAGAACAATTATACTTGAATTTAACCCAGATTTGCAAGCTTAACTTTTTGCCTGTGTGGTGTTATTATTATGGTGTTGAACTAGGACTAGGAAGAGCCAATTGAAATCCACCCAAAGCCATTTGCACCTGTCATATATCATTCTCATTCTCAGTGATTTCCCAGTATCAATAGTAGTAGGAAATCCAGACGATGGAGAACCAGTCTCAAGTATAACATATATTTCCAACAATATCTCTTGGCTCTCTATACTGTAGACTCCAAAGGCATTCTTAAGATCCATGTAGGAGATGACCAGGCTGATCCCAAAGCAGGAATCAAACACATTATTTGTCATGAGTCCCTTTGCACCCACAAGAGATCTAAGTCCAGCCTACTGTGAATTCCTTATCTACCACCAAATTGCTTTGACCATTAGTAGTTCAGATTGTTGTAGAGAGCTTAATCGTACAATAAATCTTTATACCCATTTAAACTGCATGGATCTCCTAGTTTCCCTGGTGCTTGACAACCTTGTTCTTAGAACACAAAACACTTTGTTGACTTCTTCATTGACCACTCTCTATGGCAATCATTTTAGGGGAGCATTCATCCCAAAACATAGGAATAGAAGAAGAAAAAAAGCTCTTCGTGTTGATAGAGCTTTGTTACTGGCCTGAAGATGTCTCTCAAGCCTACAGATTGTAAAATGATGTCACAAACCAATGGACAGCCCAATGGTTCTTAACCAATTTGTGTTAAGTCAGCCTGCCTTCCCTGACTGGCCCATATCTGAATTAAATTTTTGGCTTTTTATGTTTCTCCATTCCCAGACTCTATTGTCAGACCTGGCTCACACTTCAGCCTATTAGAAAGTGAATTTCCATATTCCAGCTTCTCTATATAACAGTATCTGGGTGCTATCCATGGGTCGGCTGTATGTCAGGCTTTCTAACCAAGACTTGGAATTAAGTCACAGATATCCTGACCTGTCACAACATATCTGGATTTCTCAGCTAGACTTATCTCAAATAATGGCTTGGCTGGATTAGAATTTTTATTTTCAAACAAAAAAATGGAACATCCTAAATAACTGGTTGTCCACTTAAAGAGAAGGGATAAATAACTTTTAAATCTACTAGATGAAATGTTTGGGGTTTTGAAGCTGAGTGATTGTTTAGTTGTGATATTTGTTGAGTCCCATCTCAACTCCCACACTCCAGGTATTTATAGACTAGTTTAGTCTAGACCAGTGATGGCGAACCTACGGCACATGTGCCAGAGGTGGCACACAGCACCCTCTCGGCACTGTCACCTCAGGTCAGATCTCCGTGGCATTTCTTTCGTGAGCTTCTGTTTCCCTGCAAATGACGAAACAGAA